AAACAACAATTTTACTATATAATTCATCCTTAATTTTAAGAATTCCAAAAAATTTCAAAACATGAACAGTGTATCCCAAAATCAGAAATTCTTCAAAATTAGACATTCAAATAATTCATATCTCTACTCATATTCCTTATTCACAAAGTACCCAACAATTCAGTTTCATACACTACAAGAAAAACACCAAATAGTGACCGAAAATTCGGTCACTAAATGTGCTAAAATCGGTTACTAATCTTATCTCTTAATTATATTATATTTTGCTTATTTAAGTTTTTATTTATATTTATTTCCCCTATCTCTTAATTATATTATATTTTTTAGAAGTTTAACTTATTATTAGGTGGTTTATTGTCATTGTCAGGATTCGAACCCGGTACCTTAGAGTTGGAGGCTGAAACTCCAACCACCGAGCTACTAGGATCTTTTAATAATAACTTACAAATAAATTATATTTATATACAAATAAATGTATATCCGTATAAATATATAAATATAAAATCTATAAATAAAAATATATTTATATATTTTAATATATATTTAAATATTGATATATTTAAATATTGATATATTTAAATATTGATATATTTATATATTGATATATTTATATCTTTATATTTTTACATATATTTATATTTTTATATATTTATATCTTCATATTTTTACATATATTTATATCTTTTCATATTTATATATAAAGATATTAGTTTTCTATACAAATAATATTATAATATAGTATATTATACTATTAGTATAGTATACAAATAATATATTAGTATAGTATAGTATACAAATTATTAATTTTGTAATTTATATACAATGAAAATAATATAATGGTATATTAGTATAGTATAGTATATTTGTATTCTAATTTTTAATTAAATTAAAATTATGCTAATAATGTATATTAATATATGAGGGGATAATATTGATATATTTGTATATATATATATATATATATATATATATATATATATATATATATATTTATATATTTATATATTTATATATTGATATATTAATATATTAATATATTTATATATTTATATATTTATATATTTATATTTTTATATTTTTATATATTTATATTTTGATATATTTATATATTGATATATTTATATATTGATATATTTATATATTTATTTATATCCTTATACATTTATATCTTTATATATTTATATATTTGAAAAAAAAATATTAAATTTTAAAAATAATATTATATTTTTAAAAATAAATATTAGAAAAAGATTTAAAAATGTATATAAATTATATTTACATTTACAAAATATTAAAGATATATGTTTATATCTTTACATATTTATATATATTTATATGTTTATATTTTTACATATATTTATATCTTTCCATATTTATATATTTATATATAAAGATATTAGTTTTGTATACAAATAATATTATAATATAGTATATTATACTATTAGTATAGTATACAAATAATATGTTAGTATAGTATAGTATACAAATTATTAATTTTGTAATTTATATACAATGAAAATAATATAATGGTATATTGGTATAGTATATTTGTATTCTAATTTTTCTTAAATTGAAAAAGGTTTAAAAACTAGTATTATCTTAAATTTATTAAAAGTATAATTAAATCTCTATTTTCTTAAATTTTTTTTTTAACTTCTCAATTCTACATTTTTGTAAATTCTATCATTATATTATCATGCTCATTATATCAAAATGTTAAATACTTTTAAATATTAAAATTAACTTTATCAAAAATTAGGGAAAAAAATTAATCCAAAAGAGTTCAAAAATATATTATAATATTGTCAATTTTGAGTTTAATTATATTGTTCATTCTCAAAGTAGAAAAATATATTGTAATTATTTTAATTTAATAAAATATAATTTAAAATTTTAATACTAAAATTAAAAGATTAAATAATAATAAATTTAATTCTTTAAATTCAAGTAGCTAGAAACTAAAATTATAGTTTCTCTGTTTTAAATAATTAAAATAAATATTTAAAAATAAAAATCAAAACTAGTATTATCTTAAATTTATTAAAAGTGTAATTAAATCTCTATTTTCTTAATTTTATTTGTTTCAAACTTCTCAATTCTACATTTTTGTAAGTTCTATCATTATATTATCATCCTCATCTCCTCCCATGTTCTACTTTATCTTTACAATAGTCAATATTCTTAACTAATTTATAGTTTTAATTATAATTTTTTAGTATATATTTCAGAAATTAATCAATTCTAATCTATTATTTGAAAAACTAATCAATTCTAATCAATAATTTAGAAAACTAATCGATTATAATTAATTATTTGAAAAAATTATCAAATATGATCGATCATTTCGAAAATCTAATCGATCAGAATCAGATGTCGCTCGAGCGATACTAGACTCGCTCAAGCGAAATACAACCCGAGAATGCCAATTTTGTGCAGGGGAGTTTCGCTCGAGCGAGAAGCTTGTCGCTCAAGCGAGATACTGATTTAGATAGCGGTTACACGAGAACCGCTCTTAAAATCTAACTTAGATAGTGGTTAACCCTTGAACCGCTATTATATGGTTTCATTATGATCGGTCAGAATGCAATTATGACCGATCATAATGAAAACTTACATTAACTATTTTTTTATATTATGTTTTTAAATTTTTTATTAGAGAAAACCTTTCAGAATTCAAAATGTTAAATACTTTTAAATATTAAAATTAACTTTATCAAAAATTAGGAAAAAAAATTAATCCAAAAGAGTTCAAAAATGTATTATAATATTGTCAATTTTGAGTTTAATTATATTGTTCATTCTCAAAGTAGAAAAATATATTGTAATTATTTTAATTTAATAAAATATAATTTAAATTTTTAATACTAAAATTAAAAGATTAAATAATAATAAATTTAATTCTTTAAATTCAAGTAGCTAGAAACTAAAATTATAGTTTCTCTGTTTTAAATAATTAAAATAAATATTTAAAAATAAAAATCAAAACTAGTATTATCTTAAATTTATTAAAAGTGTAATTAAATATCTATTTTCTTAATTTTATTTGTTTCAAACTTCTCAATTCTAAATTTTTGTAAGTTCTATCATTATATTATCATCCTCATCTCCTCCCATGTTCTACTTTATCTTTACAATAGTCAATATTCTTAACTAATTTATAGTTTTAATTATAATTTTTTAGTATATATTTAGAAATTAATCAATTCTAATCTATTATTTGAAAAACTAATCAATTCTAATCAATAATTTAGAAAACTAATCGATTATAATTAATTATTTGAAAAAATTATCAAATATGATCGATCATTTCGAAAATCTAATCGATCAGAATCACATATCGCTCGAGCGACTCTAGACTCGCTCAAGCGAAATACAACCCGAGAGTACTAATTTTGTGCAGGGGGCGTTTCGCTCGAGCGAGAGGGTTGTCGCTCAAGCGAGATACAGTTTAGATAGCGGTTACACAGGAACCGCTCTTAAAATCTCACTTAGATAGCGGTTAACCTGGAACCGCTATTATATCGTTTCAATTATGATCGATCAGAATGCAGTTATGACCGATCAAAACTATTTTAATCGATTAAATCTCGTTTCAATCGATTAAAACAAATTCTGCACAGTGTTTTAATCGATTAAAACTTATTTTTATCAGTTAAAAATTTATACACAGCGTTTTATATGATAGCGGTTTCACTGGAACCGCTCTTAAAAGAGAACTTTTAATAGCGGTTGCACCATCGCTCGAGCGAAAATAGAGTCGCTCAAGCGAAATACAACCCGAGAATGCCAATTTTGTGCAGGGGGCGTTTCGCTCGAGCGAGAAGATTGTCGCTCAAGCGAAGTACATTTTAGATAGCGGTTAACCTGGAACCGCTATTATATCGTTTCAATTATGATCGATCAGAATGCAGTTATGACCGATCATAACTCTTTTAATCGATTAATTCCGGTTTCAATCGATTAAAACAATTTCTGCACAGCGTTTTAATCGATTAAAACTTATTTTTATCAGTTAAAATAACTTGAAAAGTTTTACAAGAAAGTTTTGCAATATTTCAATCGATTGAATCGCGAAACAATCGATTAAATGAACTTAGAAGATTTTTTGTAAAGTGTTTATTGTCGCCACAGTTGCAGGTCGCTTGGATTCAAGGTGGTTGAGGTTTGGGTTAGGGTTCGAGGTTAGCTGGGTTTGCGTTGGGTTTGACCGCACGACGACTGGAGTTTGGCTTCAGATTAGGGTTCGATGCTGCCGGAGATGGGTTTGGGCCTCAAGTTCGTCGAGGTTGAGGCTGGGGTTGAGTTTGGAATTCGCTTGGGGATGGACAAATGAAGGGTCTAGGTTAAGCTCGAACAAGTATGCTCGCTTGCTGTCTTGTTCTCTGCTGCGAACTAGGATCGCTCGCCAACTAGGTCAGATTTGAGCAATAATTTTTGCGAACATATTACCCATATTTGGGGACAAGGGGCGGAACAACCTCTCGATCTGCTTAGTGCAGCCCAGGAATAAAAATGTCAGTTAATGCACGAAGAAGATGAAGAAATACGCGAAGAAGATGAAGAAAATTTGGGGCGCGAAGATGAAATTTTCGTACCTAGGTCAGATCCTACAGCGCGAAAAAAATAAAAAATTACCACGGAAAAACAAAAATAATTACATAAATTAAATATAGATTAATTTAAAAAATAAATTAAATAATAAAGTGACTGAAATAATAACCGATTTTATGTGACCGAAAATTCGGTTACTATTTCGATTACTAGACTAAAAAATAATAATTTGGTTACTTATTCGATTATCTGATTTCGGTTACTTATTTGACATTTTTCTAGTAGTGATATATTGAATGAATTAAATTTCCCCTTACCTAATGTGTTATTTCTACCGAAATTTTCCCACTTAATTCAAATTTTCTCCCGTTTTGAAAATTTTGATTAACCTCCTACTCTAAGAAGTTTTTTTTACAGTAATATTAATATAATATTAAAATAAAGCATACTTTTTTTCCGCCTGCTTCGCCGCCAGCTCCGAGGCACCAACTTTGTCATCCACGAAGCCAACTCCGTCCAGGCTTCTCCAACACCCTCCTCTCCTCCTTCGGCGACGCCATCTTCGTTGTTTTCAACTCCATCCTCGACAGCTTTCCCAGGAACAAGTGCTTCGTGTGTGGCAACCCCGTCAGGTTGTCTCGTAGGAACCTTATCTCCAAGGAAACCGCCATGTGTCGTTCTTTTTTCCGGGTTCAGATTGTGGGACATGGTTTGTTGGTTCTTGCTGGCTCCTACGGCGCCAATGCTGTTAACAGGGCGACGCTGAATGTGTACTATCAGATGATGAGACGAGATAGTGGCTTGCATGTTATATGGCAAACTGGGGTTGAAGCTTTTGATCAAATGGATAGCCTCGGCAAGAGTCTTCCACGCTTGTATAGTGCAATTTGGTTTTAGTGGGCATTCTTCAAAAAAATTTACAAAAATAGGTAACTCTTGTTTTGGAACACAACTTCGAATAAATCGTGTTTTAATTTATTTATTTTATAAAAAACATACTTTTATATATAATTTTAACCGAAGTATATATATATATATATATATATATATATATATATATATATATATATATATATATATATTTTTTTTTTTATTATTCTTTTATTAAAGTAGTGAGTATACACGATCATATGTTTGATTGAATTGAGATAATGTATCCCTCCTTAGACCAATAGTCTCCTCCTTCTCCAACTTCAATGCCTCCTTCACGTTTACCCACTTCTTCATCTTCATGTCTTTCATTGCACGTTTACCTTCCCATCTCACCACAACTAACTGTAGTAGAACTTTGTTACTGCTGAAGGATATATAGTTTTTTTGCTTATTTATTATTTATTGTTATATTGTTATGATAATGAACAAATTTTGCAACATATGGTTCATTAATATTAATACTTTTTTATTATTTCAAGAATCATTAAATTGAGTAGTAAGTACTCACTTCTCCTTTCCTTTGTTAATAATCATACTCATTATTTCTTGGGCTTTAAAAAAGATATATATATATATATATATATATATATATATATATATATATATATATATATATATATATATATATATATATATTAATGTGGAACACGATTTATTTATCTAAACTCATATTTCCCCTTAGTCTATAAAATTGAGCCAGCTCCTTGTTTCTCTTGGGCGGTGGAGGTGGGATTGGAAACTTCCCAGGGTTCCTCCTGATCAACAACCCTGTCAACAACAAAAAATTATAATCATTAGTCTATAAATGTTAGCTTTATACTTTCTGCATTCATCTTCTATTGCATCATCCCCAATAAGTAACTCTTACACGATTTAGTGAACTTGAAGCTTTCGCAATGAAATAAGATTTTCTCAACGCCAATTTATGAAAATCTTTTGAAATAACATAAATATATATATAGGTTGGGTTTTAGTTTTAGAGGAAGGTAGCTACAGTGCGATGTGATTGTGTGTAATTTATCAATTGCGTTTTAAAGTCAACAAATTGAATGATAAATATAATAAGAAATAGAAATGAGGAATGAAGAAACCTGTGTTAACTTGGGTGGAGAGCATGAAGGAAAGGGATGCGATTAACGCAAGAACAATGAGAAGGTAGCGCTGAGCCATTTATGTTCCAAGAGTTATAAATAAAATGATGCATGCCCACAAATATTTATAACCACAAACATATAAATCATGATGTTTTAAAGTTTTAGGGTAAAAAGTGACGAGAGATCCTTACATATCTTTGTGTTATTGCCACGAAAAACCCAATAGCAAGGAGAGTTCAAAGTTGCTTTTGAATATCATCACCAAGACAATTGGGTCATCAAAATCTGTAACAGCAATTTGTGTTCAACCCTTATGCCAGTGGACCTATCCAAGCTAGCCATAATGCCACAAACACAAAGTGCTGCTTCCCCTCGTAATGGCACCCCACCTAATTACCCCACTATCTGACGTGCCTAATTACCCCATTATTGGCTCCATTTGTTGCACTTCAAATACTTTTGATGATCACGGAGACGACGTCATTTTCTAGTTTCATAGAATTGAATAAATACTTTTTTATTTAGAATACCATTATGTTGAGAATATTGAAAGATCTTACAAAGTATGGGATTAGATGAAATCTAACGTTAAGTAAGACTGATACAGGGCTTATCAGATTTTTTCAGAAACAATTTTTCGCAGAACAACGTTCAGCAGCAGCACCCAGTTAATTCGATTATGTGAAAATATGATACATTTCGTTGAAGGCATATTGTACTTGTTTTTCATTCTTTTATGATTGATATATGGATGGGGCCCGCCTTTCTAGAAACAAAAACAAGAACCAGATTGCGTGAGTTCCTTTTAATATGTGGTTCCTGTTTCATAATAATTCAGTTAAAATCTTTGGCCTAATTAACTTTTTATTTTGGGTTATAAATATTTTATTTATATAATAGATGTAACAAGGAACATGTGTACACTTTGAGTAATATGTGTTGACTAGTCATTTTCGATAATATCTCCTTATATATTATTTTTCTTTCTTAATATTTACCATTTCCTGTTAACAATGATATCAAGAATTTTAAGAGATGAGAAGATAAATAAGGAAAAAAAAAACAAGAAGATCAATGGCAATAGCAGAGACTGGATTACATAACAAATGTTAGTACTCAGTAGTAAGAATTTGAACAATTATAATAGTTGGTGCATGAAGATAAAGTTTATTTTTGGGCTCCAAGAAATTTGGGACATTGTTTTAGATGAATATGATGAGCTATCGGAAAATCCCATCAAAATACGTGTTATGTTTCATTATGCGAAGAAATGTAATTGTAAAGTTTTATTTTATATTCACCGGTCTGTTGATGAAAATAATTTTAAAAAGATTTCATTGGTAAACACGACGAAAGAAGTCTGGGGTGTACTGGCATAGAGTTATGCAGGAGTAGAAAGGTTGAAAATGGTGAGATTTCAAACCTTGTGTCATCAATATAATTAAGTTGTTGCAGATGGAAATATAAGAAATCATTCAAAAATACTTTACAAGATTGCTCTCACTCACAAACTTGATGAAATTATGTGGTGAAAGTTTGAAACAACAAGCAGTGGTAGAGAAGGTGTTAAGGAACCTTGGTGCAAAATTTGATATGATTTATGTCGCTATCGAAAAATCCAAGAATTTGGATTTGCTGAAGTTGGAAGAATTACATGGTCGTTGGAGGCTCATGAATAATGTTTACGTAAAAGAGCAAATGATAAATCAAAATCAGAACAGGAAAGCAAAATCAGAAGAATGAAGGTAATCGAGGAAAATTCAACAAGAGAATCCTGAAATAGGTTTCAGAGACAAAAATAATTGAGGTCGAGGTTCAAAAGGACAACATGAGAGTTTTTTACAATCGAGAGACAACAAAGGTAGAAATTCACAATGGAGAGATAATCGATATGGTTTTGGTTTTGGTTTTGATAAAAACAATATGCAATGTGGTCGTTATGTAACTAATTGTTGGAACAAAGGTTTAAACAATAATGAAGAAGAAGCAAATATGACACAAAAGGAAGATAATGAGGATGAATGATGGTGACCACGACAAAATCAGAGAAAACATATGGTGAATCTTGGTATTGGATATAGGTTGTTCGAATCATATGTCGTTTTAAAAGAGTTGGTTTGTCAAGTTTGATGAACAGGTTAAATCAAAGGTGAAGTTTGTAGATAATTCTACAATAAATTGTGATGAAAAAGGAAAAATTTTGATTAGAAAAAGAGATGGAAAATTTGCAATAATTTCATATGTATTTTATGTTCCCGCCATGAAGTACAACCTATTGAGTATTAGTCAACTTCTACAAAAAAAAGGCATTCAATCGATTAGAGATCAAACGAGCAAATGTTAAGAGTTCTCAATAAAAATGGGATACTGATTCTGAAGGCCCCTTTAAGCAAAAACAAGACCTCTTTAGAATCGATATTTCAGTATCGAATCATTTGTGTTTTGCAGTTGTAATTTTTTATGTTAATTGGTTATAACATCTGAGGTATAGTCATCTAAATTGCGATAGTTTAAGTCAATTTGCATAGAAGGAGATGGTGATCGGATTGCCTCAGTGTAAAGATATTTGTGAAAGTTGCATGTTAGAAAAACAAGCAAGAAATCTCTTGAAGGTGTGTATCGAGACTAGGAGTGTTAGAAGTCATTTACACTGATGTGTGTGGACCTTTCGATGTATTCTCACTTGGTGGAAACAAGTATTTTGTTACGTTCATTGATGCTTTCAACAAGAAAATATGGTTGTATTTGCTCGAGAAGAAATCAAACGTTTTTAAATGTTTTGTCGAGTTCAAAAAATTGACAAAGTTATTAAAGTCTTGAGACCGGATGATGGTGTTAAGTATAATAATGGTGAATTTGTATTATTCTGTAAGGAGAAGGGTATTGTGTATGAAATTATACCTCCATATATAGCACAACAAAATGGTGTTGTTGAAAGAAGAAATAACAATTTTGAACATGGTCAGAAGTATGTTAAAGAGAAAAAGTTTGTCACATTCTTTTTAGAGTGAAACAGTAGCGACTACGATTTATATTTTGAATCAATGTCCAACTAAGAGAGTTAAAGAGAAGGACACCGGGAGAAGTTTGGTCAAGGAAAAAGCAGATTGTAAAGCATTTGAAGATATTTAGCTCGATTACTTTGAGACATGTTCCTAATGAGAGAAGGAGAAAACTCGATGATAGAAGTCATAAACTAATTTTGGTAGGGTATCATTCAACTAAAACTTATAAGTTGTATGATTCTATCATGAAGAAGATTATTATCAGCAGATATGTGATTGTCAATGAGAAATCCAGCTGGGAGTGAAATTCGATGGAGAAAAACAAAAATATCAATTTTGATGTTTGAGATGACGAAGAAATAGAAGGAAAAGATTGATCTATTCTAGAAATCAACGATAGAAGAAATTGATAAATTCTAGAAATTGATCGATTCAAGAAATCAACGAAAGAATAAATGCACCAATAAGATTGATATTGATGATACAATTACAACAACTAGACGAATGATCGAAGAAACTGAGAATGTAAATAATCTAGTTCATCTAGCCTTATATGCTAAGATCAAACCTGGACCGGTATACTTTGAATATGTAATCAAAGATCCTGAGTGGGTCAAAGCAATAAAAGAAGAGTTGGTGGCAATTGAGAAGAATCATACATGAGAATTAACTTATCTCCCAAAGAATCAAAGACTGATAGGAGTGAAATAGGTATATAAAACAAAGTTGAACTCAGATGGAAAAGTTGTAAGGTATAATGCTAGACTTGTGACGAAAGGGTTTAGATTACAAAAAAGTTTATGCACCACTGGCAAGGATAGATATAATAAGAACTATTGTAGCTCTTGCAAGTTACAGGGGATGGGAAATGCATCAAATGGGTGTTAAATGTGTGTTTTTAAATGGTGAATTGGAGGAGGAAGTGTATGTTATACAACCATCAGGATTCATGATTATTGGAGAAGAATAGAAGACTCTTAGACTGAAGAAGACTTTGTATGCTCTAAAACAGGCTCCGAGTGTTAGTATTATGGTGCTTGATTTAGTCCCACATCGATTAGGATTGTGAGATGAGGTTCTCTATTTTGTTATATAAGCAACCCTATGTAAAGTTTGAGATACACACAGAAATAAAAATTACTTCCTAGTGTAGTCGTGGACGTAGGCATACATATTTTAGCTGAACCACGTTAAAATTCTTGTGTCGTTT